CCCCCCCTCTCCAACACACGCACCCATGTCGGTTCAGTATCTAAATACAAACATGCATGATAACATACGATGGGGAGAAGTAATAACACATAAATTTGACAAGGCATTGCTTTGCCCCAAAGTCAGAGCCATTCCAGTCTTGATCTCTCCTTGCATGATCAACACATTAAACACTAGGTTCGAGAAACTCTCTATAACACTTAATAAACAGGCTGACTTGACACCTTTCCTCATACGAGCTTTACCTTTAGCGCTGAAGGCGCAGGCCAGAGAGGAAATCAATTGAAAATATTTTATTCCCCACAACATATTTAATTTAGATTCTTCTGGAGTCGGACCACTTTGAGCCTGAAGGTAAAAGCCAGCCCGAGTAGCAGCATGTCAACAGACTGGCAGAGATGATCTATGAAATAACAATCACTCACGGGAATCAGACTTCAGTCATCTTACTGCAACAGCTACCAACCTACCCATTACAACAGACGCCAGTGTCCAATAAAAGGTGAGAGTAACAAAATAATAAATAACTTACGGCTATCCTCTGACTCCATTCATGTTGGTGGCATTGGCTATCATTTAGATAAAAACCAGTGCTTGCCTGTCTGGGCGATATCGCCCGCATAGTGGGCGCTTTGATAAGTTTGGTTACAAGTGGGGATCACCTGGGAAGTGACAGGTCGCTACCTTAGAATTACAAAGTTCTATCTCCTTAATACCAAGTTTCGAGAAATTTGACTTTAAAAATGTTTAGTTTCACAACAGGTCAAGCCTTTTCGAATGCCATTTTTTGAACATATTGGAAACGTCTCCAAATAATCATACAATTTTGATGGAGCAGATAGAACATGTAGTTTCTGACCTCATGGTGTTAGTTACTCAAAACGGCCAAAAATGTCAGATTGAACTTTGTAATTCTGAGGTAGCGAGGTGTTATCATAACATTACTAGAGGTGGCATTGGGCGCCATCATCATCACTGGAATTCCCACCCTGCATCAGGGTTATATGCAACGAAACAAACACTTTCCACCTCTCCATATACCGGGATAGCCTCTTGATATTATTACTCCATGTATTTCTGCTGGTGTAGAAGCTCTTTTGTCTCCCAAGATCGAAGAATAAATAGACATGTTTGCTGGTGTTTCTGTAACTTTTTCAGTTTTTTGAGGGTCATGCTATAAAATAGTTGATAATCACTGGACACAGGGTTAGGCTATAAAAAGGTTGACAATCACTAGAGTTAACAATGAAAGAAAAAGATGCAAAAGAAACGAAAAGGAGATAAACACACCACACAAACAATGGAATATCTACAAGGCAAAACGCACTTTATCCGATTCACAAAAGAACTGAGAAAAATGGAAGATAAAATAATATTCTCTTTAAACAAAAGTATGATCGAAACGCAATGATATCATTCTATTGTCTTTCTTCTTCTTCTTCTTCTTCTTCTTCTTCTTCTTCTTCTTCTTCTTCTTCTTCGTCCTCTATCCCGTGGTTGGGGTACCCGTGGGGGTACCACTGTATCTGAAAAGCAGCTCTCATCATTATTATCTTTGTCCTCTGCTTTCCTCAGATTGTCACCCATCGTCTCTCCTGTCCACTCTGTAATGTTGTCCTCCCATCTCCTCCGCAGGTGTATAAGAATATTGAGATGACCAGTGAGTGCATTAGTCTGATCTTCGAGTTGGGCGCGATGTTTCTGTCTTTCCAAATGTGAGGCAGAGTGGTGGAATCAGGCTCTCGTGAAATTTTGGGCATATAGAGCTATTGGTATCATCTTAAAGCTTGTTCACCTGTCTTTATTTGGTTGAAAAAGATATCCATTTATCTTGAATACAAGTCGAGATATTTGTGATTGAAGGAGGTGGGGGTCATCTATTTTCAGAGGTAAAATTAGTGAGAAAATAGCCGCCAAAGATTAGTTACTTCCTTAGCTTAAGAGTTCGAGGTAACTGAAAATTAAATTTTTGTATGCCTTCTATCAACGTTTTTAAGAAAAATCCACACAGAAATGAGTTCTTTAATGGGCATGAAAGGTGTTGAGCCCCCAAAAACTAAAAGTTGATAAAAATTCACAAACCTGCAGAAAAAATGCAAGTTTCTTCACTTTGATTATATTGACGAGAGCCTGATTCCACCACGCTGCCTCACAAATAGGCTTCAGTTTTGACAGCGCAGCTGTTGTTTGCGCTATTCTAGAGAGAATTCCTGGTCTTGAGTCTTCATCTGAGACCATTGATCCAGGGTATTTGAAGCTGTTGACGGTCTCAAGTTTCTCGCCCCTGACTTTGATGTCCGCGGTTATACCATTGGTTTTACTGGTCATTAGCTTGGTTTTCTCGGCACTGATCTCCATGCCGTAGGCCGCTGAGGTTGTGTCCAACCGCTCCACTGGTGTGGCGAGCTCCTGTTCTTCTCCTGCTTATCCATCGATGTCATCGGCAAAACCCAAGTTTGTGATTGTCCTGCCTCCAATACTGATTGTTCCATTGTGGTCTTCCATTGAGCACGTCATGATTCGTTCCAGGAAAATGTTGAAGAGAGTGGTAGAGAGCAAACAGCCCTGTTTTAACCCGACCCTTGTCCTGAACCAATCCCCCATGCTGTCGTTAAGGGGGGGGGGGGGCTACACATGAAGGCTCTCTTGCTTATCACTGAACCGAATTGTACCAAAATTCACACGTATAACAAGCATAGTAAGGTGTCTTAAAATCTGAAATCAAATATGAGAAAAAAGTTTCGTTTCCATGGATGGCGGCCATACTGGATTTTGTCGACATGTCTCACGTATTGAATAACGCACTTATTGTTCTTGGGAATTGATTGGGGTTTTTTTCATGCATGTTAACAAACATTAGATCTAAAAATTTGTAGGTTGTTTTTTTCCTAAATGAAATACCAATTTTTATTGATTTTTTTTCTTGGGGTAGCATTCAAGATTGCCAAAACTCCGTGAAAATCCACACTCCAGACACCACCAACAAAAATAAATTCCATATATATCAAAAATTCAACAGATACATTTTTAGTAGTACATCTTCTCTTCATTCTGTGAAAATTCATGAAGATTGGATGAAAAATGGTGGAGTTATTCAAAAAGTATACAGAAAAGTCGCGTTTTGAGAAAACGGCTCATAAAGAAAAATAAAATATTGACTTTATGAGGAAATGGTGGTGACAAACATGCATGGTATGGGAAAAAATACGGATTTGGGGGTTTCTATTCCAATGAAATAGTTGTAGGAAAGGCTGAGGAAGCTAAAAATGCCTACAACTCAAATTCCATAATTTTGAGCCGAATCGGGACTTTGGGGGTGCAGCCCCCCCCTCCCCATTAAGGTAGACTGCGCTGGAGGCCTTATCATTTAGTTGTTGTATGACGTTGATCAGGCTGGCGTTGATGTTACATTTCCTCATGGTTGCCCATCAGGCTGCATGCAAGACCCTGTCGAAGGCCTTTTTAAAATCAAATCCACGAAGATATTACATAGGTTTTGTTGGTATTGGAGATACCTCTCACACAGTATCCTGAGGTTGAAGATCTGTTAATTTCAATTGTACTAAAGTTTAAATATTGAGGGATACCATGCATTTTGAGAGAACCCCTCCCCCCCCCAATATTTTCTCCAATTCCTATTATCTTTATGTAAGGAGTGGTCTGGGTTTTCGGGAAATGCCCAGATTTGGCATATAGTGCGTTTTTCAGGGGAAGCTTTCATTCCCGTATTCAAGGGCGAAGGCTGACTTGTTTGACAGGGTAATCAAAGTGAAATGGGACCAGATATGGCCTGTAGATATCACACAAGAATCTTGAGAGGCGGCGACTCTGAGTTGTGAATGAAAACAAATCCGGAATTCATATTGTATGTTCAACCGCCAAAATAATCGGGAAAGTATCTTATTAAATATCAGTTCCCACTAAAATTAAACTTAACTTTAGATGTGAATACATACACACAAAGCAAAGAAGCAGAGATGTCAGTACTAGATCTATATATTATAGATCTACCAGTGAGTCTAACTCTTTGGTAGAACATGACAATCATTATTTTTTAAATTTCACATTTGGCTGTTTTTGTCTAGCCTTTCGCGGCCAGGAGCTGGTGTCATAATCGAGGTCACGATCTGATTATAGGACGGTAAAAAGTCGAGGGAAAAAAACAAGCACAAGCAGCAGTCAAGAGATTATTAAGATTTAGTTCCCCTCACATTTGTGAGGTAGACTCGACCAGTGTTAGTTAGCTTACTTAATCAGGGCTTGTGATTGATTTTAACTGTGGCCCCAAAGAGGTGAACAGGGTATATGTGGCAATGAAACAGCTTTGACTGCCATGCACATGTTCCCTTCAACTCTATTCCAGCCTCACTTTAAGCTTACTTAATCAAAGCTTGCGACTGCTTATGGAGTGGTCCCAGAGGGGTGAGGAGGCTATTTCTGTGGCCGTGAAACCGTTTTGAATGTTAGGCATACTGTTCGTTGTTGGTTACGAACGTCTTTTTACATTTAATTTATGAGGTTTACGTTTAAGGATGAATTTGACAGCGACAATGTTTCAAAATTAGAAAGGGAAGCAGTGATT